CTTAAAAACTATCTCATCCCACACACTGCCATGGGCAGGGACAACTACCACTGTCCCAGGTTGATCCAAGCCCTGTCCAACCTGGCCTTGGACACTTCCAGGGATCACGGGACAGCCACAGCTTCTCTGGGCACCCTGTGCCAGGGCCTCTCCATCCTCACAGCCAGGAATTCCTTCCCAAATCCCATCTATCCCTGCCCTCTGGCAGTGGGAAGCCATTCCCTGTGTCCTGTCCCTCCATGCCTTGTCCCCAGTCCCTCTCCAGCTCTCTTTAGGCTCTGGAAAGGCGCTCTGAGCTCTCCCTGGATCCTTCTTTTCTCCAGGCTGAACATTCCCAGCTCTCCCAGCCTGGATCCAGAGGGGCTCCATCCCTTGAAGCATCTTTGTGCCTTCCTCTGGAGTTTCTCCAGCATGCTGAGGTTCATCCAGCTCCCAGAGAGATTTTTAAGAGAAAGTACCTCTGAAAAAGCCTAATGCCTATTTATGGCAGAAAATGTCTAAAATCCTGCCTGAATCCAATCATTTAACTTTTGATTAAAGTGAAGTCAAGTTTGATTAAAGCAGAAGTCCCCTACAATAAGTTTAGTGCCATTAAGGATGATTTATGTGCATAATTCACTGTTCTATTCATCTGTTCTGTGCACTACTGGTAAATATGAATTTTCAATTAATAATTAGAAATGGATTAACACTTTTGCCTGCCAGTGATACTTGAGTTAACACTTGAGCTTTGTTGCACTCATCCAAAAGAAACCTGTGAGGATTTTTTGGTTTTTTTTTGGGTTCAGGTTTATGATTTGCTTCCTTCAAAGGTCAAAGAGCATTCAAGAATGCATTTATACATTATTATATCTGAGGGAATTAATAACTAATGAATATACAGGGAACTTTTCTTCTAAACCAAGTCTTCCTGGAGAATTTCTAGTTTTTAAAAATATGTATAAAATATTTGAAGTGTTAGAGGAGCAGTATTGCTACTGAATGTGAATAATGAAATAGTTTGGGTTAGAAAAGACCTCAAGGATCTTTTAGTGCCAAAAGAGGACCAAAACCAGAGTTTCCTCCTTGACACTAAAAACTGTGTATATTGAAAACTTTCTAAACCTTGTTGATGGTGTAAAACTTTTCTTTATTATGTACAAGCTCATTAATTCTTTTAAACCTCCTGAAGAAACTATTTTCTATTTAATTTATGCTTCCTGCACCACAGCACCTTGAAAATCATCCAGAACTCTCAATGCACAGCACTGTAACGAAATTCTTTCCTATTAACATTTTTCTCCTTTAATCATGTGCCATAAAGAGTTTTACTTTCCCCTGGCAACTTTTAAGCTGTATGGATGTAATCATTAGAGTGAGTGATGACATCAAGCCAGGCTGACATGGTGCCATTGATTTTTACTAAATAATGATATGATGAGCTGGAAGAAGGAGTTTTATTAGTCTTAACTCAGCAAGGATTGATTGGGGAGAAGAAAATGACCAATCCGTATCTCAGGTTGCTGCAGGTATAAGAAAATAAGTGACAGCTGCAGAAAAGTCTATAAATCACGGGAAAAATTATGATAAAAATAAGAGCTATGAACTGCCCTTTAAAATTTCACTGGATGGCAGAGAAGAGTCTAAGAGACCTCAGCCATTTATCTCCATTATGCCTGGGATCCTCCGAGAATAGCAAAGTTGACGGATGATGCCATTACCTTTTTTTTATTATTTTTAAATGGAGGGAAGATAAGGAGTGGTGTATAAGTGTTACTTTCAAGTCATTAGAGGGTTGATACTTTGAAAGAATTCCTTGATTTAGCCAATAAAATAAAGTGTCTTTTGCTTTAGCTTTCTGTAGGTAATGTATTAAACACTGGCTGTTTGGAAACAAATCTGCTTGTTTGCAGTTTCTGAAGAAAAAGAAATAGTACTGGGAAATATGTTTTTTTATTAATCAGAGAATCACAGAATGGTTTGGGTTGGAAGGGAATTTAAAGATCATCTCATTCCACCCCCTGCCCTTGGGCAAAGACACCTTCCACTGTCCCTGGATGCTCCAAGTCTTGTCCAACCTGGCCTTGGATACTTCCAGGGATGGGGATTCCATATCCCAGTCCATATTCCAGTCATTCAAACCAAAGGAGAGCCAGAATTTATTGCTTTGATACCAAAGAATGTGAACAAGACCAAAACTAAGTCATTCCTGACCAGGTGCATCAGAAGCTACCAAAGTGTTGGTAAGAAAGGGATTTTTAGAGCCATTTCTTTGCCTATTATCTACACTTGGGCAAATATCAGCTTTTCCAGTGGCATTGTGTTTACATTCCATGGCAGTTTCAACCTGGGAATTGTTCCTTTGACAGCATCTGGGAGTTCATCACAGCCCCCTCTTCTCTCCAGCCACCTTCCTCTCACCACAAATTTCCGTTTCATACGCATCAGAGCTCAGCTCTTGAGGGCTTTTTGTAGTTAATTGGTGCTCTGGGCTCTGCTGGCATAGTGAGGACATTTTATGTTCTCCAGAGTGGTCAGGGCTGAGCTCTGCTGAGATGCTTTGATCAGCCAGAGGGAAATTCCTGAATATGATCCATGCCCAGCATCTGAACACATTTGGAGCTGCAGATGCCCTTTTCTACTCTGGTTCTCCAGAGACAAGAGCTTACAACGACAGCCCAGTGCCCACACAGGATCTGGGCTGTTGGATTTTGGACTTTTTCATACTTTGGCACCACACAACCATATCCAAACTCCACATATTTTTGTCTTTTGCCAGAGACGTGCAAATTCTCTGCTTTTCTCTCTGTTCTAAAACCAGCCTTTCTATCAAAGCACGTCTTTGACAAGAGGATTTCTGGCTGTTCCCAGCACATCAGCTGATTTTCTTTGTTTCTCTAGAAATATATTTTTAATTTAGAGTCAGTTTTCCTCTTGACCTTCTCTTCTTTAAATTAATTAAGCTGACTGGCTCCCTGATACTATGTCATGGTGGTACATGCAGATATTAAATAATCTGATTTTTTCACTCAGAGCACTGTGCACACTAGCTCATACCAAACTTACACTCCTAAATTCATGCTGGAAACCAGCACCCTCTGTAGTGATCCTCCATTTAGAGAGATTTTTGTAATCTCCTCCCTAGCTGGTTGTTAAACAGTTTGTTATGCAATAAATAGATTTGCAGAATGTTAGTGCTTAAGCTCAAGCATCAATCAGCATTAACATATTCTGGCAAAATTAAAGCTTTCCTGGCCTGTCCTCATTTTATCCCAAACTGGCTTTACCAGAGCTCCCTGCCACCCTGGAAGAACTTCCAAAGAATTGAGCAAAATATCCTCTGGTGGCACTTGCCACTATTAAGTATTGATGAAGAACATTGTTGTTGTTTTTTTGTAATAATACATTTTAACAGCTAAAAAATAACCCAAATAATCAGAAGACTCCAGAAGATGCTTTGGAATTAGATTCTTTCATGTAACTGTTGGTCACTGAATGAAATTTTTGTCCTTATACATATTTTAAAATATTTTTATGTCTTGTTGTTCATAAATATTTCAGGCAGTTTTTGTTTTATTTATTTATTTTGTTTATTGTGTTTCCCTTTAAATCATTTTTTGTTGCCCTGGGGAGTCCAAGAGGGAAAAATCCATGATTTAATGAGCAGTAGTCATTTGATGGCATATTTTCCCTCCAGTACCACAGGCTCTTTCTCCACCCTTTGTCCTTTGCCAGGGGGGTATCAAGACATCCATTTCCTTTTCCATTTCATCCCCACAATCCTGACACTTGATGGGAGCCCTCAGAGGGGCTTCTGCAGCCTGGTGGCAATCCTAACACCAATCCTGATGATTTCCAGTTTGTCTTGGATTGCAGCTTTTTGGGAGGACTCTGCTTAAGAAACTCCAACTTTTTCATTCCCCCAGGTTCATCCACACCACCAGACAAAGTCAAAATTCACACATTTTATTCCAGCAAAGCATAAAGTTCTGTTATTGAACACAAAGTTGGGAAGAAGGGGAGAAAGGCAGTGGTAACAAAGCTGCCAATGCAGCTGCAGAAGTGCATGTCCAGAGAATTCTTGATGCTAAAGCTGCTCTGAGGCTGTTGTTTGAGTTTGGGGAATGATCCACAGCAAAGCTGGCTGGAGAGAGCGGGAATGGGAATGGGAATGGGAGTAGGAAGCAGCAGTGGCTTCCCAGGATTGCAGTGCCAAACCGAATCTGGGCTGGTCACTTGAGGGGACAGTTGTCATCTCTCTGCTTTGGCCCAAAGTGTTTTGTAGCTTTGCAGGAAGGATCCATCCCATATTTTGCAAATTTGTACATTAACAACTTCATATATCAGGTCTTTTGAAGGGGTTAAGCATATTAGGAGAAATATCACAAAATCCTGGTGCCAAAATTGCCCATCCAGCCTGGTATTGGACTCCTTCAGGGACGGAGAGTCCACAAGCTCTCTGGGCAGCCTGTCCCAAAAATAACTATTTTTCTCCAAAAGTGTTTTGTGCCTTTCTCCCATTAAGTTGTATTTCCACAGCACAAAAAAGATTATAAGCACTTGATAAAATCAACACTTTTTTGGTAATCATTTGCATGGTTCAAAATAAGTTTTTTTAAGAGTACCATGATTACAGTGACTGCAGATTAATTATTTTAGGTTTGACATCTGTATTTGACTATTGTGTGATGGAACAAAACCGTGAAATGCTTATATTTAATTTTCATTACATTTGAAAGGAGATATCAGCATTGAATCCCTTCAGGACTTTTTAACCAAAGACTTGGACTCCCTAAAACTCCCTGCTGAGTGTGCATGGCAGAAACTGTGCTAATCCAGCTGTATGTAACATCCTGAATTTACTGGGAGCTGTCCCATGGCAGGGGATTGGAATGAGATGAGCTTTAAGGCCCCTCCCAACCCAACCCATGCTGGGATTCTGTGGAATAGGGGAGGTTTTGGATTTCTCCCAGCCCCCAGGGAGGGAGGGAAGCTGATCCCCCTGCCTTGTGTCCCCCCAGGGATGCGGCAGGGGAATGACGTCGGCACGCAGTATCGCTCGGCCATCTACACCTTCTCCCAGGAGCAGATGGAAGCTGCCCTGAGATCCAAGGAAGAATATCAGAAGGTAACACTGGGCAGGGGGTGGAATTGCTTCAGCTGTGAGCCCAAGGTCACAGATGTCACCAATTAACACAAAATCACTCGCTGTGCGTTGCGCTCTCCGTGCTGCTGTTGCATCTCCTCAGTCCAATCCCCAACTTGCATCATAGTTGCCTTAAATTCCAACTTTTAGGATTTCTTTTTCTGTGTGAGTCATTTTATAACCATGCAGAAAGAAAAATAGCTCCTTGTGCAGAGATATTTTGAGTCTCTTCTACAGATTTATTTAATGTGGGTTCACCAGAACAGAAATCTGTGAACTTAAAGCTTTTCAAGCTTCTCTGGACCCCAAACCCTGAAGGGTGAACCCAAAATCCCAGATCCAAGTGTTCCTGAACATTGCTGATAGATAACTGAGTTGGATAACTCAGGATCACCCACCTGATGCTTATGAGATGCTTCAATCAATCCTTTCCATAAATGTCTTGGCTGAGGTGTGACAGCCTGTGACTTACTCAGAGTGTTGTGAGACACGGATTTGTGTGAGAGAACATCGACCCAATTCCCTTTCTTACACAGAATTTTCCCCTGTTTTCTGGGGAAGATGGATTCTGTCTCTTCCCAAAGGCAGAGGGATTAGTATCCTGCAGTGTTTTTGCACTGTGGTGCTGCTCAGTGCTCTGCAAAGTCCAAATTCTGCAGCAGAAAAATATTAAATTATTCTAATTTATATGGAAAAAAAAAACCACTTACTGAGGACATCAGGGCAGTAAACTTAAGTAGTACCAAAAGACAATCAGTGTTCATTGTATTTAATTATACAATCACCTCACTGGTGTTATGTTAAAGCACCAGGAGTTTTGGTGTAAATTTGATGTTAAAAGTAAAAAGCTCTTTTTACATCAGCCAGAAGGTCCCAAAAGGCAGCAGATTGTTTTTTACCAGTGTGGGTATGACTGGGTGAGCTCCTAGGGCTGGTTCCAACTTGCAGTTGGAATTATTTTGGTTGCAAAGTGGTGCTCAGGACTGCAGGTAAGTGATTTCCAGATCTGACAACTGTGTGTGTAAATTAAGTGCTCAATGACTTATAATTGCTTCTGATGGGGGTAAATCACTCTTGCTGGTGGTTTTGGAAGACATTCATCATTCAAAACTTCTTTTTACTCCTTATTTACCTTAGATCCACTGCTTTTCCAAATTCCTTTTATTCCTTTATTTTAGCATCTGCTGACCAACATCACCCTGCAAATCTTACAGCTTTAATTTGCTTTCCCAACTCTATTATCCTCTGCTGTTGTTTGTCATTAAATAAATACTGACATGAGAGCAAAATTGCCATGTGTGAGATTGCAATATGATATTACAGAAATTTCCATCATCAAATAGATTTCCTTAATGGCACCATTTAAAATTTACCTACTTTGAAAAGTGTGTGTAATTAGTACATTTATATAATTAGGCACAACTGTAAGTGAGCACATGTAGAGTTTGTTTTTGCACTGAAGTGGGGAAGGAAGGGACGGTGTTGCCAGCTAAGGAAACCCAGCAAATATGCACTGAAATTCCTTAGGGATGTGTGTTTCCCATGTATTATTAACAACAATATCTCCAGTATTATCTACTGGGGTATTACAGGAGCAGTGGAATGGTTGTGTGGGAAACACACTGAGCAAACAATTTGTTCAGGAATCCCTTTTCATATTAAATGCTGTGCATTCCATTATTTTAATGTAAATGTAATACAGCCACTTTCCTTATTATTGCAGCAATTTAAAATAAATATCAAGCTTTTTCTGGCAGTGACACATGCCAGATAATCATGGATAAAAATGTGGGAATGACACAATTTTTCTGTGATAAGCAGTAGTGCCTGCAGCAAGGGAGGAAGGACTAACAAATATTACAATAACTGCAGTGTGCATGGGTGACTCCAGCGTTTTTTGGCACTGCAAAGGAAGAAGAATAAAATCAAAATGTCATTTATTTTTTTGTTCACTGAATAATTGTGCATGTGCTCTTAGATGTGGTTTGAGCTGAGGGCCTGAAAGAGCCCTAAAAATGGCCTTCAGCCAGAAAAGGATGGGTTTGCTAGATGAGGTCTGGGTTTTTTTTTCTAAATGGCTTCTCATGTCCAGGGATGGGAATGGAGTTGGGGAAGGGGCTGGAGGATGAGGAGGGGCTGAGGGAGCTGGGAAAGGGGCTCAGCCTGGAGAAAAGGAGGCTTAGGTGGGACCTTGTGGCTCTGCACAGTTCCCTGACAGGAGGGGACAGCCAGGGGGGATCGGGCTCTGCTCCCAGGGAACAGGGACAGGACAAGGGGAAATGGCCTCAGGCTGTGCCAAGTTGGGGTCTAGACTGGATATTAGGGAAAAATTCTTCACAGAAAGGGTGAGCAAGCATTGGAATGGGTTTCCCAGGTCAGTGGTTGGTTCCCCATTCCTGGAGGGGTTTAAAAGCTGTGTGGATGTGGTACTCGGGGACATGGATCAGTGGTGGCCTTGGCAGTGCTGAGGGATGCTTGGATTCAATGATCTCAGAGTGCTTTTCCAACCTCAGTGATGCTGGGATTCAATTTTAATATTCAGATTTATTAACAGGCTGTGAGTGAGACCCTTGGGATGCCCTGAGCCCAGGTGACCTGCAAGGTCACATCTGTTCACATCTGTTTTGAGTTGTGGAACTTGTTGCTGATTCCTGCAGCTGCTTTGGGAGCTGAGAAGTGGCAGTAGAGCACTGAATTCACATCAGTGGGGCTGGAGCTGCTGAGTGCAGGAGTCAGAGTCAGCTCCTGGTGACAGAGACTGTAATACAATAGTGCTGCTGCTAAATGGTGACACAATGAAACTGTAATCAGAAAAACATCAAATGAGGGCCAGGCCTTGGTGAAATCACTGTGAATGAGCAGCTTTGCCTGAAGCTGAGGTTTTTTAATACAGGTGAACCTGAGGTTACTCAATTTTCAAGACAGTTGCTCAGCTGGGTTTAGTTTTCAAATGAATTATCGAGGCAATTGTAATCCAGAGAATGAAATCAGGGTGGGAAGAAGTTTGTATTCATTCTTTTTTTTTTTTTTTTTTTTTTTTTTTTTTTTTTGGAATTTTTGCCTCACGGTTTTTTTTTTTCAAGACAGTTGCTCAGCTGGGTTTAGTTTTCAAATGAATTATCGAGGCAATTGTAATCCAGAGAATGAAATCAGGGTGGGAAGAAGTTTGTATTCATTCTTTTTTTTTTTTTTTTTTTTTTTTTTTTTTTTTTTATTTTTTTTTTTTTTTTTTTTTTTTTTTTTTTTTTTTTTTCAGAATTAGACCTTGCAGTTGTTTTGCCAAGCATTAGCACTGGGTTGTGAGGCTCCAAGAATACACTGAGTGCCTCCCCTTCATGCAGTCACAGAATGGTTTGGGTTGGAAGGGACCTTAAAGATCATCCATGAGCCATGGGCAGGGACACCTTCCACTGTTCCAGGCTGCTACAAGCCCTGTCCAACCTGGCCTTGGACAATTGCAGGGATCCAGGGGCAGACACAGCTTCACTGGGAAACCTCTGCCAGGGCCTCCCCACTCTCCCAGGGAACAATTCCTTCCCAAATCCCATCCATCCCTGCTCTCTGGCAGTGGGAAGCCATTCCCTGTGTCCTGTCCCTCCATCCCTTGTCCCAAGTCCCTCTCCAGCTCCCCTGGAGACCCCTTTAGGGAAGGGGCTCTGAGGTCTCCCTGGACCCTTCTGTTCTCCAGGTGAGCACCCCCAGCTCTCCCAGCCTGGCTCTAAAGTAGAGATTTTGGGTGGATGCATTCCATGGAATAAGGAACACAATGAATTAGCAGAAGATGCAGCACAGCACTTCAGCAGACACTGGGAAGCTTCCATCAGCTTTCTGTGAAATGATGTGGGAACAAACCAGCAAAACTCTCAGGTGCAAAAGTAAGACCTTTACATTTAGTATGAGGGAAAGAGATTGAAAAGCTGGAGTTTTCTAAAGCATTCCAAAAGCAATGAGCTTTGGAGCAGCAACCTGCAAGGAGGTGAAGTGGTCAGGATTGTATTTGTCAAAGCTGGAGGCAGGGCTGTTTACAGACCTCTGGGATCTGCAGTTCTGAGTGGTTAATTCCATGAAGGAATGCCTGGCAGTGGGAATTCACAACCTTCATTTGTGTTTTATCTGACATGCTGTGTGAAATCAGAACAGGCTTTGCCTGGGAGATGGTTTTTCTTGTGATTTTTGGCTGGGAGAAGTTAAATAGCTCTTTTAAAATGAGATTGTTTTTATTAAAGCAATACAATAGTCAATAAAAAAATAACACCTGCTTACTCCTCTTCAAATTATGTCTAATTCAGAGCTTTATGTGTCAAATTATCTCTGCTTCACTCTGCTGTGAATGGCAACAACTTGATTCCTGATTGATGGTGGTGGCTCTTGTGGAGACAAGCAAAGCTGATCTGATAAGCTGAGCATTTCTTTGGGTTGTAATCACTTTTCTGTGCTGTAGAGATACCCTTTGTATGTTCATCCCCCTCAGAGAAAGCTGCATTTGGCTATGGATGAGGAGGTTTTGTGTGAACACTTGTGAACTCTTTTCATGTTACTGCAACTGCAGAAAATTTGACTTTGCCACTCTGATAAAATTCAGGCACCTCACATTGGGGAAATCTCTCAAAACTAATCCTAATCCATTTCTTGATGACAGTGGCAGCATGATAAAAGTATTAATGGCATGAACTTAGGATGAACTTGTGAATGTGTGTATACTGGACTTCAGCAAAGCCTTTGACAGCATCTCCCATGGCTTATTCCTGGAAAATCCAGCAGCCCATGGCCTGGATAGGTTCCCTCTGGGCTGAGTTAAGAACTGGTGATGGCTGGGCACAGGGAGTGCTGGGGAATGATGACACTTGGTGACAACAGCCCCCTGCAGCTCCAGGCTGGGGCAGAGGGGCTGGAAAAGGCCCTGGGGGTGCTGCTGACATGAGCCAGGTGTGCCCACGTGGGCCAGGGGACAAAGGCACCTGGGCTGTGCCAGCTCTGGGGTG